CTACCTGTTCTAGGTAGAATGGAAACCAGGTTTCTTGTACCCTTATGACGCCCACGGCAAAAGCAGCTCTTTACTGGGAAGCCACAAGCAGCTTCTCGGTGACTAATTTGTCTCCTTTCTCATACATATTAAACCCTCATTCAAATGGCGGCTGAGACGAGCCCCTTCTCCCCGTAAGACTTTGAATGCAATCAGTGGTAAACAGGACATATAAAACATGTCTAGAGAGACCCGTGTCCAGAAGCACTTGTTACAAGCTGTATTCATTCTAAACATGAGCTGATGAATCATGGCAAGCAGTAAAACAACTGGGCCTAAATAATTTATGATTAAAGGAAATAAAACTTGGGCTGTACACCAGGATCTCTCAGTTCTGCCCCACATATCACCTGACCAAAGGGCTGTGGTGCAGCCACCCTTCCCCTCCCGAGCCTCCTGACCTCTTGCTATTTCTTTGCTACCTGCAACCCAGTGAGACTTTCCCTTCACTCTGACGGTCGGCTGCACTCTGGGGAGGAGATAGCTCGCATGGGGCTGTCCCAAGAGCTTCACTTCTGCATTTACTGAGGAAAAAAAAAAAAATGTCAGGTGCTGATACAAAGACTTTTGACAAGAAACAACATCAAATGGCACTTAAGATACCAAGAATGCAATCTGCATAGTTCAAAGTTCAGAAAGAGCATGAGCTTATAAAACAAGTTAAAAACACTATTGCAAGCTCAGTTCTCCTTTCCTGCTCCCGTTTAGGACACTTGTATAAAACAGCTGACGAAAGCACAGTTTCTCCAGGGTGAGCAAGGAAGGAATATGAATGGTTACATCCACAAGTGCGAGGATTGCTCTGAGGAAGAGATGGGTGCCTGGGAGTGCAGGAAGTTAGCTGGCCACCTTGGCCTGTGTAAACATGTAGCAACCCCACCTGCAGGTTATTTTGCACAAGACTACCAGGATGAGCTGGTAGGACCAAAATCAACCCTGCTATGGAGTAATTACTGCCTGCTTTTGGAAGTTATTTCACTACTTGTGTATACCGAGCAGCACAAACACATTTAAGTCTCTGTTGGAGCTCTCAAAATGAACACCCACCTGAACTGCAAGGGAAAAAAAAACCCCAAAGCTGAGCTGTTTGAAGTGGGTTTGTTTTGAGGTGTTTTGGACCACATGCCGCTCTGGGAGTGTTTAAAAAACAAGCAGAAGTTCCACAAGCTTTCTGGGGCATAACAACTGCTACTTTACAGTATTTTACTCACCCGTGACCACATTTGGCTCCTCCAGAGGCTGTTCTAGATGTAAAATAGATACCCTGCACAACAAAAAAACCTACTTATACTGTAACACGGCCTTTGTTATGACTATCTAGTTCTACTTTTTAAATTCAGTGCAACTTGCTGCAAATGTAGCCCTTGATCCCCGATATAGTTAATTCAGCATTGTACAAGAAACACAAGGTTCGTTCTGGCTGCAGATCTTTCTCCAATAGCAGTAAGTTTAGCTGATTTCTGTGGATTTCATTTGAAAGTTGCCATATTTCACCTAGGTCTGCCATGAAAACTTAAAAGGAGTTAAATAACTTTGAAGAAAGCACCATGAAGAATTCAGTTCTTACTGATGACAATACTTTTATTAGAAAGAATAACAAAGTGCTTTTTATACGATTCAATTAATACAGAGTTTTTAGGTAATTTTAATGGACAATTTCAATGTGATGTTTTTTTCAGTGCAAACAGGGCTCTCTAGGATTTCTAATATTCTCTGGTGTGTCATTTCTTGTCTGTATACAGTAGTTCAAAAATCTAGGCAGTTGACAGGTATGAAACAGTACTGAAAAGTCTATCCTTTAAAAAAGTTACATAAAAAGTTTTTAACATTCTGCACTGATTGACAGGAACTGCATCTTTTAATGCAGGTTTAGGGGACATAATTCTTTCATACAATTCCATACACAAATGCATAAAGGTACTTTCAGTTTTAACAAGAATAATCATATATACCAATATAAACAACACTATCAATTTTCACAATATAGATAGAAAGGAAATGATCTTTTTTAAATTAACGTTATGATTTTGAGCTAGGGATAATCTCTGAAATGCTTGGTGCTTCTTATGCCTTTGAACTAAGTTTGGATGGAAGGAAGAAAACAATCCAAGCACAGTTCGCTCACTTTTCCTCATCTGTGATGCACATTTACAGTCAGGTTTCTTTTCCATTGCATTCCATTTGGAATTCTCTGAGACTGATTTTATTCCAACCCAATTTCTCCCTTAACTTCCCTTTTCTCTTCTGCAAAGGAGAGGGAAATAAAAGCATAGTAATAGCATAAAAATTAGAACAGATGATTCTATGCAAATTCTTATGTACAATTCAATGCATGAAACAAAGCAGGTGTATACCTCAAGGTGTATCTTCCATGCAACAGATTTTTTTTTTCTTTCTCTGACACCTAGTGCCATTAAAGGGGCTATTTTTTCGGGATCTCAAAAGTGCTACAGTTACCTTTAAGAGAAACCATTAAAATCTCATTATACACAATCCTGGTTGAAAAGCCAGATCCATAGCTCATGTATTTCCAGACACGAACATGAGTAACTGAAAGGCCTGCTCACAGGTGAAATCACCACAGCGTGCATGTGAGAAAAGGCTGCTGCACGTAACAGCTCCCAGGCTGGTGGTGAGGCACAACCTTGGTCCACTCTCCTCACCCCTTGTGCATGGAGCGCAGAATTCCCGCTCCAGTACCAGATGCCTTGTCTCAACACAGCGCTTCTTGCAGCAGCCTATTGCAGCAGGGCACCACGTGGACACATTTTCCAACAGGACAAAAAGAACCAGATGAGATTCTCTGAACTGTAACTTGGTCATGGGAAGAAAGGTTTTTTTTTTTTTTTTTTCCTTTGTAAATGACAAAATGCTTTTGCAGTACAGTCCTTACACAGGAAAAGAATACACATAAACCCACCACTACATCTGTATGCGTATGCAAAGGTATAGTAGAAATTCTATTTTTCAAGAGATCCAAAACAAAAACAGTTTACCCATAGGCACTTGTGAATACAGGTCTCCTTCTCCAAGGTTCAGTGCGTACGTGGTCTTTGCTGTGACTATCAACACCACATGTCCAGGAATACTTGCTGGTCTCAAGCGTTTCCAGGTTTTCTGCAGGGCGTTTAGCTAGGTGCCAGTCAACACAGGCTGCAAACTCAAGGCGCACCTGGGCCTCAGTTGCAGTCCACGGGGGCTTGCTGATGCAGCAGCGCGTCTCCGATGCATGGCCACGGCCATGAGCATCTCAAGGTTTGGAAAAGACACTTGGCTCCTCAAAAGGTAACTATGCATCCACCTACCCTTCATTAGAAAAGCCAAAAGAACTTGCTACTGATCAAATTTAGGCACATAAGGACTTTGAAAGGAGCTGGGCCTGCAGGTTCACTGCCCTGAATTGCAATTATTTCAGTGATAGGAAAGGTTTAAGGACTGGGGCCAAAGGTCCTCAAAATAGAGCCAAACAATCAACAAGATCCATGTTGGCATAAATTCTGCCTTGAGAACCCAGTTTCAGGATGGGGACAGTGCAAAGGCTTCCCTTGGCTGCAAAGGTCTTTGGATAAGACTCAGCATTTTCAACTAAAAACTCTTGAGTTGTTAAGCACTGCTGGTATATATATATGTATATATTTCTAAAAATCACTGCAAAAGCTTAAGTAGTCTTCTGTAAATTTCACATATTACATCTCTTTAAACAAATGTATAATTCCACAGTAGCTAAAGTCAGATTTGTAATGAAGTGTTACTAAAAGTAATGTATACCAAATATTAAATTGGCCTATTCAGTAAAGATTCTGTCTCATTATACTGTTTTCCTTTATCTGAATGGTTTTAACTCATTCGGAAACATGCAGCACTTCCCTGGAGTAGCTCCCAGGCAGCCAGAGCATACTTTGTACCTCCTCCTACTCTTTGACCCATCTTGCCCATAAGATGCTTTGGTAGATATGCATTCTTGATGCCTAGTTAGGAAATAAATCAAGTAATCCTAGTAAATAAAACAACCACTTGATTTCAAACACATTCTTGTCTTACAATAGGACACAAGCCCAATCTGCTACATAAGGCCAGGCAGAAGCCTTGGTTAGGTCCACACAGCAGTCAGCCAGGGGAGCATTAACAGACTTGACCATCTTCTACCTAGTTGTTGAGACACCTCATGCTTGCAGAGGAGATCACAGAAGCAGCAGACAATATTGTAGCCTACTGTCCAGAACGGCAAATGCCGGTATTCATCTGCAGCTGTATTCATCTACAAAGTCCATGGAATATCCAAATATTTATCTTCAAAGGAGGGAGAAGGAATAGCAAGAAAAAATAAACAGCAGCAGGAGTCAAGTACACATTCACAAACCAGACAGACCTATGCTTGACCATTTGGCCAACCCAGGCTGGGGCTGCGATTCCTCCTTGGCCCTAAGCAACAACAGAAACCTTGGGTAAAGTCATTAATCCCAGGATAAAAGCAGTTTTCTGGCACAGCCTGTTCCCTGGAGGAAAGCTTACTATAAACTATATTAACCAAAGATGCTTCCAAGTTATGAAACTGCATCCACCTTACAAGGCATTTGCTGCTGTAGCTGAGTTAGCAAACCTCTAAGTGTAGATGTAATTTTTCAGCAATGTGCTAGCAATGTAAGCAGATTCGGCTCACAAACAGCTCGCAAAAAGCCTCAGCAATAAGCAAGGATTCTGCTACCAAGTGTCCACTTTAAATCAGACAGAGTGTTTTCACTGTACAAAACGAGAACATTCAGAGAGGGGAAAAAAAAAAAATAAGACAATCCTTGGACTAAGCCTCCAAGGGTGCAGGAAACAGCACATTACTTTGGACAGCACTGTGTTGCAAGTGCTTTTTTCCCTTGCAAGATATAGCAGGCCTTTGCCTAAAAGGCATAATTTTAGCCCCCTCGCCCCAAATCTTGACAGTTTAGCAAGCTACAGTGTGAAGCATTCAAAGCACCCATTTAAGTAAAATATAAACCTACTGAAACCGTGATGGCATTGTAACACCTGCTCCAACAGGCATCATCTATAAAATGTTACTGCTGCACATAAATAATGACAAGGCACAGAACTGCAACTAGTCCAAGAGCTTGCAAGCCGAGAAACCAGAGCATAACCCAGAAGAACATGATTATTACAGGTTCTACTATCCGTTCTCCAAAATACATCCTCGTGAAGCCGATTCTGATGAGGCTTTTGTTTAATTCGCCAAAGAGAGTCCCCATCTTTTTATAATCATCTATTACAGGTTCTGTAGCGTGGTTTCTTTGTTCATGCTGGACCTGCAAGCAGAAGACAAAATTGGACACATCAGTTCTTCTTAACATGATTCATGTGAAGATGTCTCAGCTGTTTCTATGTTAATGCACAAAATAAAACACACACGCAATGAAGCTATTTAGTCCAGAATTTGAAAACGTTATGCAGCTGGTGACTTGCTCATCACACTAAGGATGAAGCTTCCTTGCCTGTACTTGGGATATCCGCAATTTTACTAAGCGCAGGCAATATTTTTGTCTCCTCTCTTAATATCCCAGCAAAGCTCTGCCACAGGCCCTATTTCATACCCACCAGCCCAGCATAAATACTAGCAATTCCCCAGGGCAACTACAATGACATTACACATGTGTGTTTTCAGAGAGAGGATTTGACTGAAGTAGATTTGTTATAAATAGCTCAGGAACTGTGGTTCCCGAGTCTCTTCAGAACTTCAAGAACTGTAAAGAACAAGTCAGCATAAACTACTTGGTAGTTGCCACTAAAGCACAGGAAACCAAAAGGGATCCTATCGCCACTGGAACAGGGGCACAGAATTAGGCTTGGGTAGAGGGAGAACATCCATCCCGACACGGAGCAGAAAGCAACACAAGTCACACAAAGGAAACAGTGCCAAGGACAACAAGGCGCCAAGTGGTGTCATGAAGAAACGAGGTGGAGAGAAAGCAATAAGGCAGGTCATGGTTACTATTTTGACACATATAACCACATTAGACCTTAAAATTACAACTCTCTTTTCTCAAAGTTCCTGAGCTTCTTTGCAAAAAACCACATTAATTTGTGCTTGGGTATGACGAGGCAAGCACCCTTTCAGGGCGATGATTTTAAGTTCACCAGTCCTTCCACAGAGATCATCAAGAACACTAGCAGCAGCTACTCATCAATATCCCACTCAACTGACCAATGGCCCCACCAAACTCTCTGTAAACTTCACCTGCAATTAGTGTTGCTCTGGATTCAAAACAAAAACATATCTTTGATTACATCTTTGAAGGAGAAAGTCATTGTGCTTCCTGTGGTTGCACAGCAGTCTGCAGCATACCAGCACCACTATGTGCTCTCCGTTTGAGGGCATAAAAGAGTAAAAGTGAATTCTCAACCCAGGTAAAAAGCAGCTTGTAGGAGCTGCCGCAGGCAGGCAACGCTTCCTAAGTCGAACTCACAGGCCGGGATGCAGAACCTTCTAAGCTGAACAAAGGTTCACAAAGCGCCACAGCTGCTATTGGGAAAAAAAAAAATGCTGCCTTTCAGTTGTGTGCACTTGGGTAACGTATTTCTCTTATTTGTTAATTCATACAGATTCAGTTTTAAAATTCAGTCATGAATTCCAGAACGGGAGGAGTGCAAGAAGCCTACATAATTGTATCTGTTATTATGCAGTTCCACAGAAGAGTCTAAACATTGAAAACGTCAATATTTAATTCAGTATAGTAACAGCAACCCTCCTCTTCTCTCTTCAGCTTGCTTCTCATGCATAGGCCTTTCTCCCCCTTTATGGATATGAAAACTCCATTATTCATCATTTTAATTCTGCTCATAATTCAAATCACTAGTAATTTCTCTTTAATTTCAGCATTTCAGGATTAGCCCCTTCAAGAAATGCAGCGCCCCTTTGGCAAGCCACTGCAGGTGCCAAAGGGCAGGGTGTTGCTTCTGGGAATAAAATGCTGTTACAGGAACTTGAATTCCTCTGCTAAGAGCAGGGAGGCAAACAGAGGAGAAGGGCCCTACTATTAGCCTAAGTGGCTTGCTGATCACAGCCGTTAGGGAAAAGAGAAAGGCTATGCTGGGAAGAGGAATGAAGTGTATTTGCTTCCTGCACTTGGAGACTGCAGGGAGCACATGCCCATGAGCCCAGGGGGAAGGCCACTGTGCAGCATTCACCAAGCAGCTGCAGGCAGAGCCCGGCTGAGAGAAAAACACAACACACACAGGCGCAATTGCTGTGTTTCTAGAGAAGCAGTGGCAGCCTTGAGCTAGCGGCCAGCGCAACTGTGATGGGGAAAAGCAAAAACTATCCCGCAAATGATCCCCCAAGCCCCTCTTTGCATCCGGATTGTTAATAGTACTCAGCAACCTGCAACAGCCTCCTCAGAGAAGGAAGTGCGGGGCCTGGGGAAAAAGAACAGAGAGGCCTACGAGCATGGCCTCCAGCTCACCGGGACTCAGTGGTGCCCACATTGGGAGCGAGCACTGCTCACTCAGGACCACTGTGGGGCTCAGCATTTTCTTACCACCTCGTTTCACTCTGACGAGCCAACAGCTTAAAAGAAACTGCTGATATTCTGCTAGGCAGGACACTGTGTAAATTCCATTGTTAGTGTTTTTTCTTTTTGGAAGTCAGACTTTATCTCCCTCTCCTCTTCTCAAACGAGGTCGATTCACGAATCCCTAAAGCAATCACACCAAGCACAGCTTCTGGACAAAGGAACTGAAAAGTGTGTGGTTAAAGACAACACAAGTGCCAGTTATTTTTCCAAATAATTTTTACAGAGTTTACAAGAACTCAGAATGGCCATGGAAATTCTCAAGATTTCAAAGGCTACTTCAATTAAGTCAGACTGAATCTGCTTTGCTCCAAGCAACCCAGCAAAAACAAGTGAAACTAGAAACAGATGATCAGCTGTAAAACACAGATAGCATATTTTTCTTTACTACAGGGGAATCATTTCACACGCTGGACAAATACTTTTCTTTAGAGATGGAATGAAAATAGAATTATTAGGGCAAACCCCAAGAGTACCCAAATTGCTAAAGAAAAATTAAGTAAATGTGAACATCGCTGCTGAAAGTCCTCTTGTTAATTTTCAGAGAAATAGTAAAATAGCATGAAGTTATACAGATATCCTCTGTACAGTAACACCGATCTGACAAGTCATAGCCTCAAAATGACAGATTTCCTTTTTCCCCAAATAACTTTTCTAAACAGTTTTAGAAAGTGGCTGTCTTCGGTGAATATAAAGTTCCTAATTGATTCTCAATTTCTGTATGGGTATTTTTATGCTAAATATTGCTAAATCATACTGACACTATAAAGACACAGGTACAACAGGAAAAGATTGAAGAAAAAAAACAACTCATGTAGTTTCAAATCTATTCTGACTAGACCCTCTCTCCACTGCAATAAAACAAAGCTTCCCCACATAAAAGCAAAAAAAAAAAACAATCTGTTTTGAAGTTGTTTCTTGTTGTAAAAACCAACTACCCACTCTCTGTTTCATAACTTACTTTACATAACATTTTCTGTATAAGGAGGGAGTGGAAGGAATTTCTTTATCTGCAATAGCCACCACACATGCCTGATTTCAAGGCCATCTCATGGCTCGCCGGTCTCCTGGTAGCCATTAAGTGCTGCACCATGGACACGGTCACCTTCTCTGTGCCCAAAGGCAGGAGGGGACAGAGCAGAGGTTTATTTTATCCTCAGCAACTTGTTTGCCTTTCCTCACTGTTTGAAAGACAGAAGAGATGAAGGAATCCAGAGGGGCAAGGAGAAACAGAAGGGCACCTGGGAGACACACTTGGATGAAGGTCTAACAGGCTTCCTGGAAAGAGAAGAGCAGTTCTGACCTCCCAGCTTCTCTGCCTTCCTTCCTGCTGCTGGCAGAGACCCTCCCTGAACACACACACACAGATTATTCCTGACAGAGAAGGAAACGGGGCTTTCCTGTTTGAATGAAAATGAACATAATGCATTAGAAACATTGACTGCATTTGTTCTTTAGGTAAGTGTTATCCAATTGAATTACTCCTTACAGTAGTTTAATTTTAGATGTAATCACCTACTCCCTTAAAACAAATTACACCGACATGGTTTTTCTACTCAGTATTATTTCAAACTCGCAACCACTGTACACTACTCCTCAATTCCCCTTAATTTTATATTCCTTTAATGCTCTCAAATTGATAGTGTAATAATCCTCTCCTCCCTTTTAATATTTCATATTTGGTATTTTTGAGTTAATTATTTAAAATTAAAATTAAGAGTTATCATACAGAACAAAATGGGGAAAATATCTGTCATCTTTTATATAGTGTGGTGCACAAGTGATGCCCTTCAAAGGCCTATCGAAATACCCAGAGGAGGTCCCTCTAAAACACTGTGTCCAGTGATCTTTTAAATGTTTGCTGTTATAAAAATGTTTTTCAGCAGTAAAGCTGTCATGTGCTGCCTCCCACTACATATTGACAGAGTCAGAGGTGAAGATCCCAACCTCAGAAAACTTTCCTACAGAAACTTTGTAACCAAGATTTCCCCAGTCAAAGGCCAAGTGTTTACATGCTTTACAGAGAATTATTGCCATTTCCCTCACCACAGCAGAGTAATACAAAAGAAACAGGTATATTTATTCCCTAAAATGAGGGAAAGTCTCTGAGGAACACACTGGGGAGATACTAGCAACTTTCGATCCACTTTATGCTCCTACTAATGCACTTTTGAAAAAAAAAAATCTCCCTTTTAATTATTTTTTTCCCTAGTAAAACAACAGGAAAGTTATCTCAACCTACTGAATCCAAAGAACATCCGGCTGTGGTGTTAGCAGTTATGTTTGTCATCAGCATAACACAGAAAATTACATATATTCTGACCACTGCCTTTGCTTATGGCAAACTTCCACCACTTTCACTGAAATTCACTACTATCCACTTTCAGGAAAGCACATGACAACCCTGTGCTTCCACGCGGTGAGCAGATGTCGTTCCACCTCAGCCCAAGAGCAGGGACTTTTTGAAGCTTGTCCTTTCACACTAGCAGCGTTTCAGCCAAACGGGAAAGTATTAGTTCCCGTGAGAACACAATCCCTTCCACAAGGAAACAACTTTAAACGATTCACACTTTCTTTTTGCATGTTTCATGTTCTGTTTTTGCTACCAGATGGACAGTACTGGCTGCAAGGCTGACACCTGCTTGTATCACCTAAGCACACAACATACCCACGCCTGGACCTTTAGTCTTCCTAGTGTTGAAGGCACTTGGTTTCCCCCTCATAATCTGCAGGTGACA